AACAAACTTATTTCAATAAATAAATATTTATAAAGTAACTTCCTAAAAGTTTCAAATGACTGTAATCAGACCAAGTATATTCTATGAATATACATAATGAAAATAACGAAAGAACAATTTCCAAATGTTTTAAAATTAAGGATTACATTTCTAAATAGGCCACGGCACAAAGTAGACTTTGTAGAAATCAGAAAACTTTTTGAACAGAAAAATAATTTAGAAATTTATGTCATAGAAGAAATATGGTAGCTATGCTATAGGCATGAAGTAAAAGATTCAGCATTGTGAATGCCAATTTTCACAAAGTTTATCTACAGAGTCACTGTAAGTCTAACACAATTTTATAAATTTTACAATAAGGCTATTCTAAAATTTGTTTCAAAACCTGAAGGTCCAAGAATAACTAAGGCAGTTCTAAAAGTGAAAAACAAAGATGAAAGTTACACCATGTGTAGCACATAAAGGCAACAGTACGACATTTGTCCTAGGATAAATAAGTAGACTAAGAAAACACAGTGAAGAATTCAAAGGCAGAACTAAAACGTAGTCACCCGATTTTTAACAATGATGCCTCTAACAGCCAGTGAAGAAAGTTGTAACAACAAACGACTCTTCGTACGTATAAAATTAACCGTTACTGCTACTTCACACCATAAGTAACCGTTACTGCTACTTCACAGCATAAGTAAAAACAAATTCCAAACTCAACACAGAGTTAGACCTGAACAGCAAAATAATACAGTATCTAGAACGGAAGCAGCAAGAACATCTCCATGACTGTGTAAGGACAAATATTTTCCATACAGGATGCAGAAAGCATCAACAACAAAGGGGTCATTATTTAATCAGTTTTCATTAAAATGAACAATTTCCATTTATGTAAAGACATCAGCAGAAGAGTGAAAAAACAAGCCTCAAATGGAGGAAGGCATTGAAATACATATATCCAAAAAAGGATTCAAATCTAGCCTAATAATAAAAATGGGCTAACAAAAACAAACAACAATAACACTGGGCAAAATACTTGCACAGGCATCTTCTCTAAGAGAATACAGAAATGGTCAATAAACATCTGAGAAGATGCTTAGTAGGATTAGCCATCAGAGAAATGAAAATTAAGGACACAACATGATACATATCCACCAGAATGGCTAAAATCAAAAGAACAAAGAATGCCAAGTTTTGCAACGATGTGGAGCAAACAGAACATTAACATATTGCTTGTGAGAGTGTAAGTTGGTACAACCACTTAGAAAACTGATTGGCAATATCTATTGAAACTGAACATATATCTAGCCTATTATATCAGCAATCTCAGTCCTAAGTACATACTCAACAGAAATGTATGTGTGTAGGCATCTGAAAGACAAGTACAAGAATGCTCATAGCAGCATTATATATAGTAACCTCAAACTAGGAAAAACTCAAACATCTCTTATCAGTAGAACTGATCCACTGCATTATATTCATACAATGGAATACTACACAACAATGTAAAACAAATCACTGCTATATCCAACATGTATTGGCCTTATAGACCTATAACTGAGACAAGGTATCCGGACATAGAATTCTGTGATTCTATTTATATAAAGTTCAAAGAAAGATAAAGGTTATCTACGGTAGTGGTCAAAATAGGGGTTCCCTCTGCAGACGGCATTGATGGCAAAGGGGATTGAGAAGGCTGAGATGCCTGCAGTGTTCTACATCTTGATCTGTGAAGGTGTTATGCGGATGTGTTCACTCTAAAATTCGCTGAGCTGTATATTTAATACTTGTGCCTTTTATTGCAGGTATGATATTCCTCAGGCATCCTCACACCTGCATGCAATTTAGGTGAGCATGTAAGTTGATAATAACCACGTGATGGAAGATCTCTTTGGTAGCTGTGCGGAAGATCAGATGGTGAAAGAGGAAAGGTGACAAAGGCTTGAGCAAAGTATTAACGGACCTGAAATAGGGCAGGCAGGTGAGGAGGAAATGCGACATCTAGAAAGACTGAAGGGGTAGATTCTAGAGACTGTGGCTCATTAGATGTGATGAATGAGAGTGTGTTCAGTTTCCAACACGAGTGACTGAGCAGATGGAAACGTAGGTATAGACAGAGATGCTGTATTGATGCAGGAAGGGAAAGAAAGCACGTGAGCTAAGTCAACGTGTTGCATTTGAGATGTTTATGAGGGATACAGGTAGAGATGGTTAGGAGGTGAAATTAGGAAACCCAACTACAAAACCCATTTTGAATTTACAGGGACCCTTGTATAAAATTAAATCCCTCCCTGGGTGCAAGGACTTCCTGAGGGCTAGGGTTCAAAAGCATCTCACCTCCAAGCCACAGTTTGAGACCCTGGAGTGATGGTTTATCTTTCCAACTTCTGAGTCAAGGAGGGGAGATGCCAAGCGTAGGAAGCAAAAGGAGCAGGAATGACCTGCACACCATCCATCCCTGAGGGGCTTTGGGGCTTCAGGCCAGTTGCCTCACTTCTCCAGCTTGCCTGGCCCTTTCCAGGCCTATGTACAGCTGCACTAAATCTTTGCATTTACTGGGAAGCGCCATTTTTATTCCTTTTCACAATTTATTTGATTAGTTTCTGTATTCAGTAACTCTTGCAGCTGAAATTGCTCATGGCTCATTTTATATTTACCTATTTTTTATGGGATATTTCTGGACAAAACTTCCTAGAATTTTGCTAAAAGACTACAATTCCTCTCTAAAAAAATAAAAGATAGTGCCAGGCGCGGTGGCTCACGCCTGTAATTCCAGCACTTTGGGAGGCCGAGGCGGGTGGATCACGAGGTCAAGAGATCGAGACCACCCTCGTCAACATAGTGAAACCCCATCTCTACTAAAAATACAAAAAATTAGCTGGGCACGGTGGCGCATGCCTGTAATTCCAGCTACTTAGGAGGCTGAGGCAGGAGAATTGCCTGAATCCAGGAGGCAGAGGATGCGGTGAGCCGAGATCGCGCCATTGCACTCCAGCCTGGGTAACAAGAGCGAAACTCTGTCTCAAAAAAAAAAGTAACTGTTAAGCAAGATATTCAATCACAGAATTAAAATAGTCTCATAAAAATTATTTCTAAAATGCACTGTTATCATTTAACATCTCTACCAAAAGATGAGAATAGAGAAATACAATAATGGTATTCTAAGGATTTATACATGGTCTGTGTACACCACACGTCACGTGCATCACTAAAAGCCAGACAGGACTACTATCGCTACCTAGAAAAAAGCTATAAGAAATTAGAATCCTGTTTATTGCTCTACCACTATGAAAGAAAATCATTTGTTTTTGCATTTTGGTAAGACTTCTCATATATCAACAGAACCTAAGTTGTAGCAGTATCTACATATGCTTGGAAATTCAAACACTTCATTTTCTGTGAGATGCAATTATTATAATGAGATTTTAATTTATAGTTCACAATAGAAATGTAAACCAGGCCTTTATGCATACATTTTTCAATAGCTATTTGCTGTTTACAGCACCAAATTCTCAGCAACCCCTAACAAAATCTGTTAGGCCTCCTAACATCCCCAAGTTTTAACTCTTGGTTGAGTTTACAAGATTTAGCATCAGCTATTGCAAGAAAGAGAGCTGCAGATGTACAGTCAAGAAGTAACAGCACTCTTAGGCTCCCTCCTTCTCTTCCTAAATCATCAGCTTTTTATCCTGTCGGGATAATCAAACCCAAGGACATGCTAGTAAACTCCATAAGGAGAATCATCTGCAAATACAGGACTCTCAGTTAACCAAAAGTAAACAATTCCTAAAAGTCCAAAGTGTTATCCAACAAATTAACAGATAGTGAAAACTCAATTTCACATTTAAAAAAAAAAATAGGAAAAGTAAGAATACATTTCTAACCCACATTGATTGTATCTGTCAATCCACTGAACTAGGCACTTTCAAAGACGTTCTGCTGCACCCAAGCAGCATAGCATTGCTTTTCAAACATATGAGTATCTCGTGTTTTGTCTTCCTGTGCATAGAAAACATGTTTATGGTGATAGGTGATAGGTGTATGTGCATGGCCAAGCTATGTCTTTCATATGTTTATGACTTTCAATATGCTTTATGACTTCCAATTCTTCTTCAGGAGGAAAGGCCACTGGGGCTCACTTACTGATCCCTAGTCTGTTCCAGTTTTAGAAGGTATTGTCACTTAAAAATGTGGAGAAGATGACAAGCAAAAAATGCACAATATGTTTAAACAGCACAAACGTGAGAGGTGGGACACGAATGACTCACTGAGGTCAGTGCCCTGTCCTCTTTTAGGGACACCCAGCAGCTTGAACACGTTCACTGGCTCAAACATGCCTTTTCTTTTAGAGGCTGACAGTTCAGCAGTTTGGATAATAAACTCGAGGTAACAATTTTTACAAATCAGTAAAAACTATTTAGATGTGAGAGCTTAATTCAGTTACAGAAGATTACAGCAAAATAAACAAAGTTATTTTGGAATTATTTTTAGTCTTCATGAGATTGTGAGAAAAAATGCAAAGTGGCTATATAAATGCTGTTCACCTGTGGAATTGTCTTAAAAGTCATGAATCAGGCAATGATTCATAGACTCCAGGACCTGACTATATTATTTTTTAAAGATATAGCATGAAAAGGATTTTCATTTGGCAGGCAAGACAAAAGTAGAAATCCAGTGTCTATCCTGATGAAAAGTGGTTATTCTCTGTAATCACACCATTGAAGTGCTCAGAAAGGGAAAGATTCTTCTTTCTAGTTAATCATCATTTATTGGCCAATAGATTATTTTGCTTACCCTAATATGCAACAGTATTTTAAAAATTCCACTATATTGATTAGTTAGTTCCTCCACTTAAAAACTTTAATTGAGCTATTTTCTAAAGGAGATGTAAATATACTATGTACTAAGCGAAATGTACTGGTTATAAAGAAATAATATATTATTTTAAGTGAAATTAAAGGTATGTTAACAGAACACCCAGTGGTAGAGTAGCATATCAACCTTGGCCTTACCCTTTAATTTCAAGGCTTCTAATACCTTTGAATCAGCTGTTACATCACTCACTAGCTTGATTTCAATATTTTGTGAAGTCAGTTGGAGCAACTTTTCAAAAAGACGTTGACCCTGGAAAAAATATTCAGAAAAAAGAAAGTCAGAAAACCTAAGTGTTTACCCATTTAGACAGGTAAAAATAAACTCATTAAAATTAATCTATTCATTCAAATGTTAAAAGGCAAGCATTTCGATAACTGATATTCACAGATTTACGGAATTCTTTCAAAAGAGTTTGTATCAATAGAGTAGTAGCATGAACACAGATTGCACTGTTTTTTTGAGTATTGTGCAGTTAAACAATTATCACAGTAATAATTCCAGTGCTACAACGCAGATCTACCCTTTTTCTGCTTTTTGAGTCTGTGTTATCTACACATGAAGTAGCAAAGAAGATTAAGCAGTTGTGTTTTGGCCCAGAGAGACCTGGATTCCAGCTGCGTTTCCAATTTACAAGCTGCTTCTTAATCTTACTAATCTCCAGTTTCTTCCTCTGCAAAATGCAGATAATATTAATATTTACTTCAAAAGGTTTTTGTGAGATTAAAGGAATTAATAGTAAGTAAGCATTCTTTAAGCATTAGCTGTTATGAGGGAAATTATGGTTAATCATTAATGGTTTACCTGAATTCATGTTGTTTAAATGTATTTTAATGAATTCAACAAATGTTCTGCCTAAAAATAACTGAAATAAAAAACAAAATAAAAGTTTTCCAGCCAAGCATGGTGGTTCACGCCTGTAATCCCAGCACTCTGGGAGGCTGAGACGGGTGGATCATTTGAAGCCAAGTCTGAAACTAGTCCAGTCTGGCCAACCTGGTGAATCCCTGTCTCTACTAAAAATATAAAAATTAGCTGGGCATGGTGGTGTGCACTTGTAGTCCTAGCTACTCAGGAGGCTGAGGCGGGAGAATTGCTTGAACCTGGGAGGCAGAGGTTACAGTGAGCCAAGATTGCACCAGAGCACGCCCGCCTGGGCAACAGAGCGAGACTCCATCTCAACAAACAAACAAACAAATAAATAAAAATGTTCTTTATAAGATTTTCAAAAGCATGTAATTTTTAGAAAACGTTTCAATCTCAGGCAGACTGAGTAACAGTAGGTCCACAGTCACTTCACTGTCTCAGGTCACTGGATTGCACCATTATCCTATTTATCATCCTTTGTATGTTTTTATAGACCCTCATCTCCTTATCATAAAATAAAAATGGTCTCTTTGCATTGATTTTTTTAGTTTTTCTGCTGTTGGGTCACAAACTCAAATGCCTTCAGGAGCTAAGCAGAGAAGAAGGCTTTGGTGTTAATGGCCCCAAAGCGGCAAGGTCTTATCTTACTGTGGTAAGAATGGACTGTGGATAATGATATGGAATGGGTTTGGTGACTGGGAAGAGAGAATGGTAGAAATGTGGAGGCAGAGTGGTGATTACTGCAATCCAGCCTTAGAAAAGAGAGACGCTGGCTGGGCGTGGTGGCATACGCCTGTAATCCAGCACTTTGGGAGGCCGAGACAGGCAGATCACTTGGGGTCAGGAGTTTGAGATCACCAGCCTGGTCAACATGGGGAAACCCCATCTCTACTAAAAATACAAAAATTAGCTGGGGATGGTGGTGGGAGCCTGTAATCTCAGCTACTCAGGAGGCTGAGGCAGGAGAATCACTGGAACTCAGGAGGCGGAGGTTACAGTGAGCCGGGTTCATGCCACCGCACCACATCCTGGGCCACAGAGTGAGACTCCATCTCAAAAAAATAAAAATAAAGAAAAGAAAAAAAGAGAGAAGCTGAAGATGATGAAGGCCCTGAAGCTTTGGGGTGTTAGGAGGAAGAAGCTGGTGTGCCCGTGCTGCATGACAGCTGACAGCAGGCAGGAGTATATGGCACAGGAGCTGGCTGGCATAGTCATTGTTCTGTAACCTTAGGGTGCTGGAGGATACACTGCAAGTTTTTTTAGAAATAAAAGTTGCTCAAAGTAGAGTGCATCAAAAGCGATTACTCTGTAGTCCAAAACGGAGGAAGCCTCACCACAAACCAGGTGTTCTGGCATGATACGGTGAGTGCATCAGTTACTGACTCCTTATTTGAAAAAGAGGCAGAGGCCAAGCTCATCCTTGTAATCCCAGTGCTTTGGGAGGCCAAGGTAGAAGAATCGCTTGAGCCCAGGAGTTTGAGACCAGCTTGGGCAATACAGCGAGACCCTGTCTCTACAAAAAGGTGAAGAAAACAATAGCCAGGCATGCTTGTGCACGCCTGCAGTCCCTGCTGCTCAGGAGGATGAGGCTGTCTTGAGCCTGGGAGTCTGAGGATGCAGTAAGCCATGATTGTGCCACTTCACTCCAGCCTGAGGGACACAGCTAGACCCAGCCACCAAAAATTAAAATAGAAAAAAGAGGCAGGAGGGGAGAGGGAGCGTGAGAGAAAGAGACAGAGAAGGACAGGAAAGAAACAAAAATTGGGGCTGATTTCAGTGTCTGTGTAAATTTTAAATTTACTGTGTTGAGGTATGGGCTTGGATGGTGAGAGGTTCAGGTACATGATATGAGGAAAATTCCACATCAAGGGGCTTTGTGGTTCTTCTGCAGACAGAGCTAACACCAACAATGCTTCCCTGTCAGCTCTGGCACTTCTCCAAGGAGTCCACTCTACTCTTACCCCATTGAAGGTTTGGGGATGTCTGCATGGCCCAGATTTCTAGAACCTAGATCGTGGTCATCACATAGTCATGTAAGTTGTTTGCATTTTTCCCTTTCATACAAACACTCTGTGTTTTGTGAGGCCCTGTGGTTGGTGGGCCAGTATTTTTTGGCAAATTCATTTATTTTTCCTCTTAGTTAACAGAATATATTTGGCACCGATTACGCATTCAAGAGATCATCTAACTCATCTGTATTTCTGGCTCTGGGCCTTAAATTGATCTCCACTGTGTTATTTTTGTGGGACTTAAAGACAACCAGAACTCTCACACATGAATGAAAATAGAAATTCCAAAATCCACAGATACTGGCAGACGGTCATTACATAAAGCGTATTTTTACTTTTAGTATATGCTGATTACTTACACCAAGGAATGCTACAATTCTTAATTATAGTGCTCACTGTAATGATCTTGGACTTGGGTAGAATTTCTGTACTTAGGTTTGAGGTAGAATTTCTATTAAATCTCTCATTTTCAACCTGTTATCTCCCAGCCAGTAATTTTACATGTTCTGTGAGTCCAAAACAAATCTTAGCTACTTGGAAATTTAAAAGTCACTCTTAGATTACCTTACACCAAAGCAGAAAGGTAAAGGTATGCCTTCTCTAGAAAGCTATGAATACGGGGGTACCTCAGAGCAAAACCATGAAAGGAGCCAATATCAGGTGTGGAAGAGAAATGTATAACCATAAACACCTTCAGTATTATTTAAAAAGTACTAAAACATATTCATCATATTAATGTGGTGGCAGCATAGGAATGTATAAATATATAAGGGAACTTAATAAATGACCCGGAAATGGTGTGCACAATATTTTTTTTTTAATTTTTACTTTAAGTTCTGGGATACATGTGCCATGGTGGTTTGCCGCACCTATCAACCCGTCATCTTGCTTTTAAGCCCCACGTGCTTTAGGCGTTTGCCCTAACGCTCTCCTCCCCTTTGCCCCCATGCCATGATAAGGCCCCAGTGTGTGATGTTCCCCTCCCTGTGTCCATGTGTTTTCATTGTTCAACTCCCACTAATGAGTGAGAACATGTGGTGTTTGGTTTTCTGTTCTTGTGTTAGTTTGATGAAATGATGGTTTCCAGCTTCATCCATGTCCCTGCAAAGGACATGAGCTCATTCTTTTTTATGGCTGCATAGTATTCCATGCTGTGTATGTGCCACATTTTCTTTGTCCAGTCTATCATTGATGGGTATTTGGGTTGGTTCCAAGTCTTTGTTATTGTTAACAGATGCAGGGTTTTTATCAATAAAAAGATACTATTTTAATTCAGTTTGGAAAAGTTAAAAAGGTTTAATCTGGCACATATAAAGGGACCCCTATATTATATTACAAATAAAAATGTGTTCCCAGTCAGAATTAGTACACACTAATACTTTCAAAAAAAAATTCCAGGCAATTACATGTACTGTCTTGGGATGCGGAAACCTTAATCCAGCTGTTATTAGGCTAAATAATAGCTCCCCAAAGATCATGGGTCTGAATCTCCAGAATCTGTCAATGTTTTCTTATTTGGAAATAGGGTCTTTGCAGATATTATTAAATTAAGGCTCTTATTTAATAATGGGGGATTATCCTTGATTATCTGAGGATAATCCTAAATACAATCACAAGTATACTGTAAGAGATGGGCAGAAGGGATTGGACACAACTGGAGGAAAAGGCACTGGGACGATGGAGCAGGAAGAGATGGGAAGATGCTGGCCCTGAAGGCTGGAAGGTGTAGCAGCAAGCCAAGGGGTGCCAGAAACCACCAGAAGCTGGGAGAGACAAGGAATGCTGGCAGCTTCTAGAGCCTCTGGAGGGAGCATCACCCTATGACGTCTTGGTTTGGATCCAGAAAAACTGGTTTCAGACTTCCTACCGCCAGGACTGTAAGAAAATACATTTCTGTTTCTTACACCAAAAAGTCTATAGTAATTTGTTACAGGAGCCACAGGAGATGAATATACAAGCTAGCTATGTAAAAGTAATCAAAGAGAATATAGACATATAGAATTCTAATTTTTTTTTTTTTTTTTTGAGATGAAGTTTTGCTCTTGTTACCCAGGCTGGAGTGCAATGGTGCGATCTTGGCTCACCGCAACCTCCGCCTCCTGGGTTCAGCCTTCTGAGTAGCCGGGATTACAGGCACGGGCCACCATGCCCAGCTAATTTTTTGTATTTTTAGTAGAGACGGGGTTTCACCATGTTAACCAGGATGGTCTCCATCTCTTGACCTCGTGATCCACCCGCCTCGGCCTCCCAAAGTGCTGGGATTACAGGCTTGAGCCACCGCACCCGGCCAGAATTATAAAATTTTTAAATAAATTATACTGTAAAAGATACTACAAAGTTAATGAAAAAAAAAAAAAAACAGATTTGGAATAAATA